ACAAATTAAATACAGAAATGATGTTATTGAAAACATTACAGAAAAACTTAAAATGCAATTCCAGAAAAAAAGTAAAGAATGCATGTTTGATGATGATAAGGGCGTGCATCACAAAAACAAATTGAGAACATACAGAGAAATAAAAACTGATTTTTCTTTTGAGAAATACCTCCAAATAATTAAAAATCCACTATATCGTGCTGCAATGACTAAACTTAGATAAGTGCCCACCGTTTACAGATGAATCAGGCAGATACAAAAACATCTCCATCTCTGATAGAATATGCCCTGTCTGTGATCTTGGAGAAATTGAAGATGAGAAACATTTCCTTTTCACGTGCCAGCTATATGAAAAAGAAAGAACCAGCCTTTTTACTAAACATAAAATGTATGGAGAGACATTAATAAACATATTAAATAATACAAACGATCACATAATTAAAGACGTTTAAAAACACATTTATACTTGCTTTATGCTTAGGGAGCAAAAAATCAAACAATAACTTCAGTACCAGCTGCCTCAAAAAAAAAAAAAAACCCACAAAACACAGATTTACATTTATTTACATTATATTACAATTATTCATTTATCTCTTATTGTGAGATGTGTATTTATTTCATTCATTTTTATTATTTCCTTTTATTTTCATTTTTTTTTTATTATTTCATGTTTTTGACTTTATTGTATTTTATGTCAAGATCTCAAATGGGATACGATAGCAATAAAGAATTACTTACTTACTTACACACTGAGGTGTTACACAAGTAATAATATTATTATCAACTGTGCCAATTTTTACAGTCATATAATTACTACATTACAATTACTGTAACCAATATTGGTGACTATGCCAATTGTCATTTCACTTTGCTCAGGTGTTACCAGTAGAATTATGTGGTTGAACTCACAGTATTATGTTATTCTTACAGAGAATTCTGTCTCAAGATGATTGCTCTACTGTCTACCATTATATCTTGTGTTGTCAACCCTTCAGTACCCAGTATTTCACCCAATCATGGATTACCAACACCCCAACCACCATATATGACATTGGATGAAGATGTCGTCGAAGGAAAAAGGATCGTCATCATTGGTGATGTTCATGGTTGTTATGATGAACTTCAGGAGATGCTTGATTTAACAGGAGCACGTAGAAATGACACAGTGGTCCTTTTTGTTGGTGATTTAGTTAACAAGGGACCCAAGAGTAAAGAAGTTGTGAACCTCGTCAGAAGCATGAAAAATGCTCAGTCTGTTCGGGGCAACCATGACGAAGCTGTTTTACGAGAATATGCAAACAGAGAAAAAGACTCAAATCATGTTCTTCGCGATAAATACGAATGGATCACCGCTTCAGATAAAAGCGAGAGGGATTTTCTAACCAATCTACCGTACACTATCACTGTCCCCTCTAGGAATATATTGATTGTTCATGCTGGGCTGGTTCCAGGAAAACAATTGTTGCAACAGAAAACGCAAGATATGGTCACTATGCGAAATGCTTTCTTTACAGACTATTTTGATGGTAACGGTTGGCAGGGTACATCCTCTGGTGACGTAGGTTACCCATGGGCTTCCCTTTGGACCGGACCACATCATGTATATTTTGGTCACGATGCCAAACGCAAGCTTCAACTGTATGATTACGCAACAGGACTAGATACAGGCTGTGTGTATGGAGGGTGTCTGACTGCTGCAGTACTGGACCCAAATGTAAATGTGCCCGTTGAATTTGTGACTGTTAATGCACAGGCAATCTATCGCCAGAAATAAAATCCGTGTAATATTGTCTCTAGTTATTGACATTAAAACAAAGCAATAATATTTATAATAAATATTTCTGAATGATTTCCATTTAATCCGATGATCTCTAAAAATTTTTTAGTCCAATCAGCAATAATTTATTGACTTGATAAATCAATTATTTGTCAGATTTATAAGAAAAACATATTTATCTTCCCTCCAATGATAATGTTGGCATCGGCATCACCAACACCTCTTGTGGCCAGGATAACTCAAGTGATTTTTTTTTAACCTCTCTCAAACTTTATTTCAATTTTCGTTTAAGTATAATCTTGATGCAGTTCATGTTCGGTGTAGCTAGCTCATATATTTTTGGAGATATTGATGAAAATGTCTCCAGAGCTTAGTCAGGAGGAGGGGGGGGGGGGGAGTTTGTAATCAAATATAACAGAGATCTGTCACTTACATGTAGATAGTTACCAGGTATGTTGTTTTTCCTGATGTGTCCTAATCTTTGACACCAAAAGTAAACAATTTTTCCAGCCAACACCATGGCATGTATATTTTTCTGCTATAACTTGCTATACTTTTTTGGAACTTTTATGCAATTCCTGTCATACATGTATCTTATAAGTTATAACACATAACAATCAGTCTACTTTGTTTTTTAATATGTAACATAAATACATTCTTCCTGGCAAGTATTTTTTCACCAAAATTGTATTTTCTTGCTGAGGTTTGCTGAGATACAATTGTTGCAATTTTTGGGAACATTAATGATTTCTTTTGATCTCATTGTGCATGTCCAATATTAAATGTACATTCATTTGATGATTCAATTCTAGATGGTTGAATAATGGCCATTTTATTTAAAACAAATTATATTTATGCTTTTCAGCATATTCAAATATTACCTTCTTATTTACTGTATTTCAAGGTTTATTAGAGACCATATTCAGTTTATGAGGAGGTTGTACTAAATCATAACTTGCTCTGCAATCTGATATGAAAGTTCAGTGATTCCCCCACAAACACCCCTGCTCCCACTTCTGAGCATTTTACCAATATTTTTGATAAATTAAGTATATAAATAAATTTCATTGAGTCTGCAACTATTATGACATCGTATCATAAACCACAGTATAGTTCACAAATCATGGGCAAGGTAATCAATAGTTTCACTATGTTTTCCTGTTCTTTTTGAAAAAAGTCATTGCTCTAAATTTCTACCTATTTTCAATTGTTGCTTAGAACAATGATTACAAAATACTATCTACTGCATGTATATAACAATAAATTATAATTAACTTTCAGGCTATTATTGTGGCCACCACCAATGTAGACTAAGGTTGTTATCGGTGTACTACTAGTAGATTATACCTACACTAAATTGCTACCTATACATTTTCACAACAAATTGTAGAATTTTTTTTTTATTCTGACTATTGGAAACACCATGTGAATGACCTGTGAATTGCACAGGACATTTGTAATTAATACTGCAGTCTAGACGATCATGTCTCATTTCCTTATATTTGCCCTTTGTGAGACCCTGCTGGACATACCTTTAAAGTGCTTTGACCAATCTTTACAAAATTAACTACAAAGGTGTATATACTACGTCTCTGTAGTAAATTTTGTGAAAATCAGTCAAAGTGATACTGAGTTATGACACAGCACATATTTTCAGCTTTTTTTTTACCAAAAGCAATACTTTTTGATCCAAACATACACTTAACATACACAGATAAAAAAATACAACAGAATGAACCATGCAGGGGCATTGTCATTGACTTGGTGACCTGTTTTCAAGTGTTGTTAGCACGTCTATAGTTATTTGGGCATAGCTGAAAAACAATGGCATATGTACATTACAAACGTTCTGTGCAATTATCACAGATCATTTGCAAAAAGTGCTCAAGTCTGAATAGAAAAAAAGAGCAAAATTGGCCCTTCAGACAAACATTAGTACTGATTCATCTATATCTGAGCTTTCAGATGATGTATAGGTTATTATAGCAGCGTGCTTAGTAATGTTTAGAGAAAGTCTGAATCACAGAGCAATTATTAACTTGTTTTACCCTGCTGCCATATTAATGATGAAATATTCCTCTCGTAACATTTAAAGTTATTGAATATGTTAATTTTGCATTGATCATCCAATCAAATACTTGATTGATCAGATATTAGAGACTTGATTTGCTGTGGTAGATGTCATTTGAACTTTTGGCTACTTCGCATTGAAAGCATCATTCTAATAGTGTATTTTCAGATGCCCTATATCGTTTTTAGAGGCTATGTGACTCTCCCACTCTCAGCTGTTATTTTTCAATTTTTTGAGTCTTGTTCC